AGTTAAATACGCTACCCTACCACAAAACAAGGTTAATTGACGTAGGTACAATATGAGCCTTCCCGTGGTCCCAAAGTCCGCCTGTTTTAACTTGCCATGCGGAGTTTAGTCTTCATCTGAGCTGTTTAACTGGTTATTCTCAGGTTAATCATCAATATAGAGAGCCTCAATTACAATAACGTAGCAAACTTTAATTAGTAAACGCATACATAAAGTACTGAGTTGCAACGGCCCACAGTCAACCCACCTGTAGAAGAACGCAATATAAAAGGAGTAGAAACAACTCCCATATTCATATACACTAGTGAAATGCAGTCAGATTTCCCAATTGGATGAAGCCAACCGGGATTACTGATATCTTAAGATTTTTTCACACTTTGGCTGTCTATTTTAGTTTATCTTACAGAATAGTTGGTAAGTGGCCTTAAATTATACACCCGAACACGCTCAACTAGGATTTACTCGTAATAAATTTTTATAAGACAGGTCATAACTGTGTGGTGTCGCCGGGCTTGAAGAAGCGTCCGTGAAAAAAATGATCAATTCTGCGTTTTCGAGTATGATTCTAGATTGCGACAGCTGGATAGCATATGGAAGGCAAATGTACCCTCAGGAAGTACGTAAAAAATCCTGAGGCCCTATTTTTTCAACGATGCTGTAAAATCCGTGTTGATAATCGTCAACAGTCTCACAGTATCTCACGACGTCTTATTGACCGAGCTAAATGTGTTTCATCCCAACTCTGAGAAACAGGAACTTTTCATTCCTTGTAACTTGATGGTCTAAGAACCTGGGATAGTCAGCTTGATTACCAAATACACAAACGAGCCTTCACAACATTTTGAAGTCGGAGACCAGAAAAGTAGGTCAATCACCGTTGATCTCATGTCCCTCATCGTGAAGTGGAGTGCAATAAGTTGCCATGTTGATAATGCGCAGCCATGTGCGACTGTACACTGGTTCCTTTTGTAAGAATAAGTTTTCTTGTTTAAAAAAAGGTAACCAAATGAAGGAATGGACCGTCTTCTGGTAAATTTGTCGCAATCTGACAAATGTTTGGGTGAAAACTGGCTAGACATTCCCAAATGTTTGTGAACTCTGTTCACCTTTAGTCTTTTCATGTAAACTTAAGGATTTCAATGTCTTACTTCNAACAAGCCAGAAGCTTGCCAGTATTGTATATTTTTGGATAGGACCCACTTCTGAGACCTAGCCAGAGTGGATTTTTCTGAGGTGACATACATAAGGGATGGTTAACAAAATTTCTGGTTTTATCTGACAGCTGGATGATGCTTACGTAAGACATTTTGTTTTACATCTATTATTATGTCTTTGTTTTTCACACTATCCCTTCCTTACCTGATTCCTTAAGAAAGACATTCCTCAAACGGTGGAGTTAAATACGCTACCCTACCACAAAACAAGGTTAATTGACGTAGGTACAATATGAGCCTTCCCGTGGTCCCAAAGTCCGCCTGTTTTAACTTGCCATGCGGAGTTTAGTCTTCATCTGAGCTGTTTAACTGGTTATTCTCAGGTTAATCATCAATATAGAGAGCCTCAATTACAATAACGTAGCAAACTTTAATTAGTAAACGCATACATAAAGTACTGAGTTGCAACGGCCCACAGCCAACCCACCTGTAGAAGAACGCAATATAAAAGGAGTAGAAACAACTCCCATATTCATATACACTAGTGAAATGCAGTCNATAGATAGATAGATAGATAGATAGATAGATAGGTAGATCACTAGACTGAGATTACTTGATAGAGGATTACCTTGGAATGGTTGCGTTTGATCCATCATCATTTGGTCGCCTTCATGTGCAGTGAGCTTGAAAGTCTCCTTGTGCTACTTGATGTAGCCGATTTTTTTATAGATACTTTAGAGCGGTTGTTGATACCTGGGAAATTCACTAACACTTTCGTTCATTTGGATAACTACTCTGCGTCTAAATCTCTGTTACTCAGTTGTTTGATTTTTTAGGCAGTGTCCGGTATAAAATTTTCGGAATTGGTGTGATAAGTGCTTGTAGACTTTCTTGTGTATGCGAATGGCACCGTGACATGGATATGATGTCCACTGTATATGGATCTAAGTTGCTGAGAAATTCTACCAGCTGACAATTAAGCAGTGCGGCTAGGACCGAGTGGTGATCATGTTCACGTCAGATTTTGCCTTTAGGTTTCTATAAACGGAGCCAGGTTCTTTGGTTCTTTACCAAGGCAAATCATAGTACATTTATAGGAAATAGTAATCACAGTGAATTGTCTGATGCAGATGGAAAAAAGTTATACCTAAACAGGACGTGGGTAAACAAAACTCTCTGACTACTGAACACCATTTCCCGATATATATATAGAATACACGTGTTCTTTGTATGTAAACATTAGCCAAAAAGTTTCTTTTCTTTTGATTTCTGGTGGTTGATACTTCTGGAAATTTCATCCAACAGATTGGCCCCGAAACAGTACATTTTCAGGAAAGAACATCTTTTATCAATCCCTTCAGAAGTAACTGGGTTTGAACCCTCAGTCTGTGTAGTGAAACCAGGGTGTAAAGTCTGTTCATTAGTATAGCTTAATCCGTTATACTGACGAAATATGCCACGCATAGGTTTGATGAAAATTTTCCAGAAGCTCAGGAGCCTCGGGACTCATCGGTTGTGCACAGTCCCCGAATCTCCGCTAACTTGAAGTTCCACTTGGACAGCAGATTGTACATACTTGAAGATACTTCGACGTATCGTACCAACTGAATCACGAAGTGGTATTTGTGCAGCACATTTAGTTGAGAAATACCATAAACCAGATTTCCCCGAGATTTAATTGAGTCTCCGCGGTTAACGTAGTTTGCAAATGGTTGTATGCGCTTTGGAGCACCGAACTTTCTGCGTGATATTTGTCCGTATTTCTTCTAGAGATCTAAATCGAATGGCGCTCACACGCTGCAACGGAGAGCCTATTGATGGGGTGAAGTAGGCACTAAGTACAGTACAGATCTGTGGCAAACGAGGCGAACTTTTCTACAACTAATTCTCTGAGTGAAACTGGTGAAGCGTCACAACCATTCAAAATAGACTTGTGTGGCGCAGTTCCATCAAGGCACAGAAAGTTCCACGAGGATTTGTCAGACAGCTTGGGACGATGCAGGCCTAACCACCAGGCCTAACGCATCACCTTAAAATGTATCCATCGTCTTTTTCCGAACTAGGAATACAAAATACCATCCGTACGCCTGATCGATTCAGTTAAATGATCCGTATAAGCCGTAAATTCTAGGTATTTGGACGTGCTTGACATCAGGATACAAATAATGCGGCTAGGTGAGTTGAACGCGACATCTTTGTAATCCTTCTGGATGGTTCCATTTTATTTTTTTAAAAAAAAGCTCCAAGAGATAAATCAGAACTCTCTTCCTTTTTGAGCCGTCTGTCTGAAGAGGAGCACAACCTGACTACAAATGATCGATTCTTCTCCTTACAGAAGGTTCCCTTTGTAACTCAGTTTGCAAAGGCGAATGAAAAAAACTGATGATACTTGCAAAATAGTGAATGAAATCTCGTCATTTTCATGTGCGAAATTGCAAGTTGATGGGAAATCATTCTGGAAACGTCTGAGTCACCAGTAACGCAGTTTTATATGGTGTCTCATCAGTGTTTTTTGTGCATATTTTTTCCACCCGAATCGGTATCAGATACATTTTGGCCACTTTTCAGATGTCGTTGCATTTACTGAATTGGATCTTGGAACCGGAGAATAGCAATGAAGTGCTTGTGGCTAAATCCACAGACGAACCCAGCCAGGAGTGTACCGAAGCCTTGGTCAACGGCGAAAGTCAGAAGAATGAATTGAAAATGATCTACATTACGTACAACGTAAGCTGTTTTGCACTCGGATTATTGTTCTTTGAACTAACAGAACATCTTTTATCAATCCCTTCAGAAGTAACTGGGTTTGAACCCTCAGTCTGTCTAGTAAAACCAGGGTGGAAAGTCTGTTCATTATTATAGCTGAATCCATTATATGCATAGGTTTGGTGAGAAGTTTTCAGAAGCTCAGGAGCCTCGGGGCTCATCGGTTATGCACACTCCCCTAATTTCCGCTAACCTGAAGTTCCATTTGGACACCAAATTGTACGCGATTTATCATACCCACTGAATCGAGAAGTAGCATCTGTGCAGCACGTTTAGTTGAGAAATACAATAAACCACAGATTCCACCGAGATTTACTTGAGTCTCCGCGGTTGACGTAGTTTACAAATGGTTGTATGCGCTTTGGAGCACCGAACGTTCTACGTGATATTTATCCGTATTTCTTTTAGAGATCTAAATCGAATGGCGCTTACACGCTGTAACAGAGAGCCTATGGTTGGAGTGAAGTAGGTACTATGTACAGTACAGATCTGTGGCAAACGAGGCAATCTGTTCTACAACTAATTCTCTGAGTGAAACTGGAGAAGCGTCACAACCATTCAAAACAGACTTGTGTGGCGCAGTTCCATCAAGGCACAGAACGTTCCATGAGGATTTTCCGGACAGCTGGGGACGATGCAGGCCTAATGCACCACATTAAACTTTATCCATCGCTTTTTTCCGAACTAGGAATATAAAATACCATCTGTATACCTGATTGTTTCAGTCAGGTGATCCGTAGAAGTCGTAAATTCTAGGTATTTTGGACGTGCCGAACATCAGGATACAAATAATGCGCCTAGATGGGTTGAATGTGGCATCTTTGAATTCCTTCTGGATGTTTCCATTTTCTTAAAAAAAAGCTCCAATAGATAAATCAGAATTTTCTTCTTTTTTTGAGCCGTCTATCTGAAGACGAGTACAACCTGACTACAAATGATCCATTCTTCCTCTTACAGAACGTTCTCTTTGTAACTCGGTTTGCAAAGACGAATGAAAAAATGGATGATACTTGCAAAATAGTGAAGGAAATCTCATCATTTTCATGTGCAAAATTGCGAGTTGATGGGAAATCATTCTGGAAATGTCTAAGTCACCAGTAACGCAGTTTTATATGGTGTCTCATCGGTGTTTTTTGTGCAGTTTTTTGTGATATTTCTTCCACCCGAATCGGTATCAGATACATTTTGGCCACTTTTCAGATGTCGTTGCATTTACTGAATTGGATCTTGGAACCGGAGAATAGCAATGAAGTGCTGGTGGCTAAATCCACAGACGAACCCAGCCAGGAGTGTACCGAAGCCTTGGTCAACGGCGAAAGTCAGAAGAATGAATTGAAGATGATCTACATTACGTACAACGTAAGCTGTTTTGCACTCGGATTATTGTTCTTTGAACTAACAAGTAGATGCAGAAAAAAGCGTTTTTAAGTGGGAAATCGGAGGTGGGCCATTTGATTCCACTGTATTTTTTGAACAGTTCCCGTATCGTGACACAGTCATCCTGGTCTATTCATACCTTATTAGGAAAGCACTGGATTAGATTGCTGCTGGCATTATCGATCCTCAACAGTGCACACTCTCGGCGACGAAGTGTGAATATGGACACCTCTGTTGCTGGTTGACGGCCTGGAAACGAATCTTCGGAAGATCACGACTACTCTCAGCTGATCGAACGTAATTCTCTCCATTAAGTATCATAACTCTCCCCTGAAACTATGTGTATGCTAGAAGCCAGATGTAAGATCCAGATTCATCAGAAATTTTGCAGTCGAAAAAGCTTAGTTTATGAAAGCACAGTTTCCGGGTTTGTATTTGAGTAAAGGTTCTCCAATGGTTACGTCTTTTATGAAGGCCGTCTAATGATCGAATATTATCCACACTAAATCGAAGCCTTCATTTGATCCACCTCGATTTCCATCATCGTTTTTAGCTCTGTTACTTAAAAAAGAACAGGAAAGAACCGCGTTAAGTTAACTAAGCAGACACAAGAAGACAGAGCACGAATAAGCATATCCATATGGGACCAATAAACATCGGGATGGCAGGATCAAATAGATTTTAAGCAACCACATTAGCTTTATGATGTGTTTCCTACTGAAGTAAAACACAAATGAGAGGAATATGCACCCTACAACGAACTGGCAAGGTCTTCCGGAAGGGTACCGGAAGGTTCTTGAGCCCGGAGAACAAGCCAAAAGCTTGCCAGTATTGTATATTTCTGGATAGGACAGGACCCACTTCTGAGACCTAGCCAGAGTGGATTTTTCTGAGGTGACATACATAAGGGATGGTTAACAAAATTTCTGGTTTTATCTGACAGCTGGATGATGCTTACGTAAGACATTTTGTTTTACAAAACATCTTTTGTTTTTTTATTTTTCACATTGTCCCTTCCTTATCTGATTCCTTAAGAAAGACATTCCTCAAACGGTGGAGTTAAATACTCTACCCTTCCTCAAAACAAGGTTAATTGATGTAGGCACTATATGAGCCTTCCCGTGGTCCCAAAGTCCGCCTGTTTTAACTTGCCATGCGGAGTTTAGTCTTCATCTGAGCCGTCTAACTGGTTATTCTCAGGTTTATCATCAACGTAGAGAGCCTCAATTACACTAACGTAGCAAACTTTTTATATAGCAAACGCATACTTAAAGTACTGAGTTGCAACGGCCCACAGCCAACCCACCTGTAGAAGAACGCAATATAAAAGGAGTAGGAACAACTTCCATATTCACATACACTAGTGAAATGCAGTCGGATTTCCCAATTGGATGAAGCCAATCTGGATTACTGATATCTTAAGATTTTTTTACACTTTGGCCGTCTATTTTAGCTTATCTTACAGAATAGTTGGTAAGTGGCCTTAAATTATACACCCGAACACGCTCAACTAGGATTTACTCGTAATAAATTTTTATAAGACAGGTCATAACTGTGTGGTGTCGCCGGGCTTGAAGAAGCGTCCGTGAAAAAAATGATCAATTCTGCGTTTTCGAGTATGATTCTAGATTGCGACAGCTGGATAGCATATGGAAGGCAAATGTACCCTCAGGAAGTACGTAAAAAATCCTGAGGCCCTATTTTTTCAACGATGCTGTAAAATCCGTGTTGATAATCGTCAACAGTCTCACAGTATCTCACGACGTCTTATTGACCGAGCTAAATGTGTTTCATCCCAACTCTGAGAAACAGGAACTTTTCATTCCTTGTAACTTGATGGTCTAAGAACCTGGGATAGTCAGCTTGATTACCAAATACACAAACGAGCCTTCACAACATTTTGAAGTTGGAGACCAGAAAAGTAGGTCAATCACCGTTGATCTCATGTCCCTCATCGTGAAGTGGAGTGCAATAAGTTGCCATGTTGATAATGCGCAGCCATGTGCGACTGTACACTGGTTCCTTTTGTAAGAATAAGTTTTCTTGTTTAAAAAAGGTAACAAAATGAAGGAATGGACCGTCTTCTGGTAAATTTGTCGCAATCTGACAAATGTTTGGGTGAAAACTGGCTAGACATTCCCAAATGTTTGTGAACTCTGTTCACCTTTAGTCTTTTCATGTAAACTTAAGGATTTCAATGTCTTACTTCCTTCCATTCCAAATCTGAAACGTTCAATTAATAATCAGCAACTGGGATGACGACTTACGCATAAAACTTCTGAAACCTGTCAAGTGTCCACTTACACAGAATACTCCATAATCTGATCAAATTTATCTTACGCTTGACGCCCAAATAACGATGAGGTAAACAACCAACAGGAATCGTTGAAAAGGAAATTTGGTCTTGGGAAGCTTGGCGAAAATACTAATGACAAAAGATCGTTTCTCCAATTGCTAATGTACAAATGGAATACTGAAAAACATGCGTTTGCGTCGTTCTGGTTTGTAAGTCGCTCAAAGTGCGCACAAATTCGTCTATTACGAGGTGATAATTCTGGTGTGTCTGGTGTGCGTCGGTGAGTAGCAGCCACGTGCTCACTTCGCATGCTCGAAATTCGGAGATCGCGCCTCACCAAGGATATGTATGAGAGTAGTAGGACTGAATGGAGTAGTAACAGTAGTTCATCGTTTCTCGTTTTTGGTGTGAAGTCAGCAGAATAATCATACTAGGACAGAGAGAGGCTTGCTCAGACAAGAGTGAGTGGGTACAAGTACAGAGTTTCCACAACACCAACAAATCCATTCGCTTGGAACTTTTTCAAAAAGATCGTAGATGGTACCAAACTCTCATGCAATTCTATTGTAGCTGTTGCTGGAACACATCAAAACGCTTGCAACTCTACCCGGTATAGAGGCAGAACGAATAGGCGGAAATCCAGTTGTCACAACAGCCCCACCCAGTCAAGTAAGTGAAATAAAATCGCTGAAAACCATACCCCACTTTGGTCTAGTGTAGCTACCTCAGTGGCAGTGAAAACCACTCGTAATAGGTTAATCAGTGTGGAAAAGCAATTAATGTACAGTGCTGCCCTATTAGTCGCGATAGGAGAGGAAGTTAGATGTTCCAAAGTGTCATCGGTACTTGGAAACCTGTAACACCTCAACTCCATTATCACTAATTTTCGAGTTCTTTTTATTTTCAATGTATAGATTCTGAACACCATTCCAGCTAGCTGGCAGTTGATCATGCAGCTGAACACATGCCTTCGGAAACAAATCTCCTTGTGTATGAGGCACGCTAGGGTAAGTCCTTCTAGACACCGCAAAAAATTAACCGTATAGCAAAAGAATACGAGTGCAATCCTTTTTTCTCAGTACTCTTTACTTGTTGGATAGATTTGCAAGACTGGTGGGCTGTAGTCCCCAGCTGAGAGATTTTCAGGCAGCTGCTGGGTTGATAAGCAATCCTACTTTGCTTTGCTCCAAGTGGCAAATTTCTTATAATCTATAAGGGAAAGCCGTGTCAAACATTGGGAGAATTTTGCAGACTGAAGAATTAATTTGCAACTTCCTACACTGCCAGTACATGAACAGCATTAAGCCGGTGTAAGCTGAGGTTTAACATACTGCTCAGGATGTAGACATAGGTTTAGAAACGTCAACCAGCCCCTTACGAGATAAAACGGCGCGTAAGTTGAACACGTGACGGACAACAAGTGAGGGGTCGCTAATCAAACGTCACTTTCCTCGAAGAGCGACTTGACAACGGCCGGTACCATAGACATTCGTGGAAAACATCACGTCCCAAACTTTCAAATGTCAGGTTAAAACGAGAAGAATAGCACAGAATCGTAGTGTAGTACTTTTGAACATTTTACCAATCAGTATGAAGGTGAGACCGGCTTCCCGACTGTATGACGTTTTTTTACCAAAAATGAAAAGCAATAGGACGTGAATTCTGGCTTAAACTACTACCTCGTGAAGGGTTACAGATTTTGTTGGTCGGTCAGGAAGTCTAGACATAACCTACGCAGTTTATTTCCTACTCGAAACTCGGTATTCTTCCAACGGGTACCAGGTTTTGTGACGAATGAAGCAAGATTAATTAGCTGGAATTGGAGGAACTGTTTGAAGACTGGAGGTCACAGACGAAGGATCTGGAGCAGGCACATCATATGAAGCCGGAACAACTTAAGCCGACTTTCGTTACAGTTCACTCTCAATTTCAGTCACAAAAGCGTCGAATAACCGTTCACTTGGTAAGCAACACAGAGGTGATCTACGATAACTGAGCTCAAATCGTGCGATCTTGCTTATGAAAACATACAAAGATTCAGGTGGAGTTATTGTGAGCAAATCATAATAATTACACAGAGTGACGGAGAACTTCACTGATACCTGGAAGTTCAAAGTGCTAGTCAAGGTCAAAGGCAAAGCTAGGAGAGTTGGACAACAAAATCAAAAGCGATAAGGGATCGGAAAATCATTACAAAAACAGTTCGAAACATCCAAAGGATGTGTAGTCTTTCTAAGGTACAAAAACACGGGCATCCGTGAGATCGATTTTTGGGCTCACCAGATAGCTGAGCTCTTGGAAGTGATTAAACCCAAAGTGGCACAAAACACCCCACTTAATGTTTTGCAGCTTATCGATGGAACCAAATAGTTTAAAGTTACGAACAAAACAGTGTTCTGTGAAGATATGTGCATGTTGTTTACAAATGCATTATTGACTAAGAGCGCTACTAACCTGTGACCATTTTCACACCAAAAACAGCCCTTTTCGTTTCCACAAGGACTCTGAAGAAACTATCACCATGTTCTACGGTGGATATTCAATTAATGTTCGAACGATAACTATACCGGCGAACCGATGGTGTGGTTCACAACTTGATCCCATGCTGGTTTATGGCCAGGCTAAAGCGTGAGGTTTGAGCATGCTTTGTTTACTGTCATCATACTGGTGGCTTTTTATTGCTCCACCGCTTTACCTTGAAACTACTAAGAGCATCAACCATCCAGGTATCCGATTTACGTACTTTAACTGCAAGTATGTCCGTATCAAGTCTGGTGATCGGATTCAACAGACACGTTATTCTAACCATGAGACAACTTCCCAAGCAAGAACGAGATGCCCTGCAGTTTTCTTTAACGAATGGCAAAGCAGGAATACTTGCTAGCTCAGTCTTATGACGTTTGGTTGCCCTAGATCGCATTGCCTTTTGTATCATTTACCGAGTGTCTTTCCATCAACCCAAAAGCTTCAAAAGCACTAAACTTCATGAGAAGCAGAAGCACGTTCCGTCCGCCTTTGAAATCCCGACTTGTGTTGGTAAAAGTAAATTATTTGCAGCTTACTATTGCACTGCCCTTGTAGACCATCCAGGACCAATTGCGTCACGAAAAGTTTGGTCATTGACCATCAACCGGTCCAGTTAGTATTTACAGTCATCCAATGAGTAGTTTTCCTCTCAAAAACTGGTTAACTTCCATGAACCTATCTCTACATCTTATATTGTCATACACTAGACAATGATTTCACACAACTTCGCTTGCTTTGTTTTGTTGCTTTTTACTTATTGTTGATATAAGGATTCGCAAGAGGATAGCACGAGGTGTGTTTAACCATGTCATCGTTTCTTACAAAGTAAATCTGTATAGCTCAAGAAGAAAGTGTACTACGAAATGTGTTCTCGATTTTTGGGCTCACCAGATAGCTGAGCTCTTGGAAGTGATTAAACCCAAAGTGGCACAAAACACCCCACTTAATGTTTTGCAGCTTATCGATGGAACCAAATAGTTTAAAGTTACGAACAAAACAGTGTTCTGTGAAGATATGTGCATGTTGTTTACAAATGCATTATTGACTAAGAGCGCTACTAACCTGTGACCATTTTCACACCAAAAACAGCCCTTTTCGTTTCCACAAGGACTCTGAAGAAACTATCACCATGTTCTACGGTGGATATTCAATTAATGTTCGAACGATAACTATACCGGCGAACCGATGGTGTGGTTCACAACTTGATCCCATGCTGGTTTATGGCCAGGCTAAAGCGTGAGGTTTGAGCATGCTTTGTTTACTGTCATCATACTGGTGGCTTTTTATTGCTCCACCGCTTTACCTTGAAACTACTAAGAGTATCAACCATCCAGGTATCCGATTTACGTACTTTAACTGCAAGTATGTCCGTATCAAGTCTGGTGATCGGATTCAACAGACACGTTATTCTAACCATGAGACAACTCACCAAGCAAGAACGAGATGCCCTGCAGTTTTCTTTAACGAATGGCAAAGCAGGAATACTTGCTAGCTCAGTCTTATGACGTTTGGTTGCCCTAGATCGCATTGCCTTTTGTATCATTTACCGAGTGTCTTTCCATCAACCCAAAAGCTTCAAAAGCACTAAACTTCATGAGAAGCAGAAGCACGTTCCGTCCGCCTTTGAAATCCCGACTTGTGTTGGTAAAAGCAAATTATTTGTAGCTTACTATTGCACTGCCCTTGTAGACCATCCAGGACCAATTGCGTCACGAAAAGTTTGGTCATTGACCATCAACCGGTCCAGTTAGTATTTACAGTCATCCAATGAGTAGTTTTCCTCTCAAAAACTGGTTAACTTCCATGAACCTATCTCTACATCTTATATTGTCATACACTAGACAATGATTTCACACAACTTCGCTTGCTTTGTTTTGTTGCTTTTTACATATTGTTGATATAAGGATTCGCAAGAGGATAGCACGAGGTGTGTTTAACCATGTCATCGTTTCTTACAAAGTAAATCTGTATAGCTCAAGAAGAAAGTGTACTACGAAATGTGTTCAAGTCGAAAGGGTATTCTTACTGCAGTTAATTGTCCTAAACCACATAGGCTCTCATGATAAAAGGGTGGTTAAGAGGCTTTTATGTTCTGTCCTGTCACCAATATTTTCTTGAAATGCTGTTTTCATCCTCCAAGAAAGCTTTTGCAGTAAGATTTCAAGGTAATATTTACCAGTCATCTACCTTCTCTCGACGAGGTTCGGGGGTTTGTTCTAGCTATTCGTCACTGAGTTGTTCCTTGGTGTGACAGCGGTTAAAAGGATGCGCAGATGAGAGTTCGATAAAATTGAAAACACATAAAAACCAATAGGAAGTATTATTTTAATTAAAATTATATGGTTTGCTCGTAGCCACCAGTAGGTCGTTACATCAATAAGTATAAATGTAGGAGCCACGAAGTACACCTCCAATTGGTTGCCTGCATTGTTTCTTAGTGTCCACTCAATAAATCAATGGAATCAAGTCGTCATACACACAAATGAGTCCACTAAACCTAGGGCCCTTTCTCTGATCACTAGATGTGTATAGCACAGTAGAGACTGGAGTTCAGTTAGTATTTCTCTGTATGGTTCGGGAAAATTGAGTTATTCTCAATCTGGACCCAAATTATTGTTTCTGATTCATGGGAATTCTGGCTTAGGATTTCTTTATTGTGGTTAAATTATGAAGACTTTTATCTGTCAGACATTCGGAATGTTGTCATCTTCGAGCATTTGCTAACAGGACTGATGAATAGCACTCGAATAGCACAAGAATATTATTTTTGTTAGTGAATTTTTAATTTGACAGTTTACTTGCAAATACTTTTAAGGCGTGTCACATAGTTCCTGTTGTCATCTTCGAGCATTTGCAAACAGGACTGATGAATATCAATCGAATAGTACAAGAATATTATTTTTGTTACTGATTTTTTAATTTGACAGTTTACTTGCAAATAATTTTAAGGCGTATCACATAGTTCGCTACATCTTACGTTCTCTGCCCAATGGGATCAGTTGGATGAACTGTCGTCGTCCCATTTTGTCACGACAGAGTCATCACTTCTCTCATCATTCACTTCCATTTTCAGAAAATCGCCGCACTTCCCAGTGCCCAGTATTTTCGTGAAGTCAAATAGGTGGCATGTGTGGTATTTGGGAAGAATATATTTTTTTATTCCTCAGCGCTTCGGTTGCCTTACTTCATCAACGTTCCTGACGAAGGTTGTCCAAGTTGACCAAAACGTTGATCAATAAAAACTCCAAACTGATGCACCAATTAGTCGGATGCAAACAATACTCGAACCCAACCACGACTTTATGGCCTTCCAAAAATTCATAAACCAGATGTCCCGGTGAGACCGATAGTAGACGGAATAGGATCCCAGATTCTCGGTCGGTATTTTAAAACCCCTCACTGGGGAATCTAGTACTTATATTAGGAATTCATATGACTTGGCCAACAAAGAAGTGGGACATTGTTGAACCAGATGACATCCTTGTAAGTTTCGATGTCAATCTGTTGTATACAAATGTGCTAAAAGAAAACTTTTAGAAATAGCTAAGCGACTGCCACTAGCAGACACCGTCCTTTCGGAACGGAAACAGCTCACGGTGGATGAAATGCATGACTGAATCCTACCCACTTCTTTTTCGACTCCGTGCATTACACTCACGAACATCTCCTAGTAATGAGATCTCCAATATCCCCGGTTTTGGCAAATATATTTGTGGAAGAATTTGAACAGAAAGCTATGGCGGATCCCCATACCGATCCAAGGTATTCTGGCGCTATGCGGATGATACTTTCGTTGTGATGAAGCGAGGCATGGTCAGTGAGTTTCACAGCTACCTGAATTATACGAGTCCACACATCAAATTTAGTGTTGAGATAGGCTCAACCTCGGATACACTAGCATTCTTAGAACATATGACCATGAGCTCTGGGGAAAACTAAGGACCACAGTATACGAGAAGCCAACTGAAAATGGGGCAGTTTCGAACTACTCGTCTGCCCACCGAAATCGGTATTCACTAGTATTGCCTCATCAACATGCACAGAAGAAGTTGATAAGACAGTGACCCAAATTGAAGTAAAGAACTAAATTCTGGGTAGTGGATATCCAACTACTTTGTTTACGTGTCAATTACGAAGGGTGCTGGACCCGGTGGCAGGAAGATAGCCTTCGCTGCGGAGCTATTTATCGGAAAATGCCAACTGACCGGTTACAGATTGGGCAGGGATGCAAGAATCTCATTTGCATCTTATTTACAAAAACTGGACATTCATCTTCTCCTGAACGCGTCTCCTTGAACTTTCCTGGATATTCACTGACCCCAATCATTCCTTGCTCAAATCCAAGCGAATGTTACAAAGCGACTCCACAAATTCCGCAACAGACCTCCCCTTTTCAAGAGAGCGAAGCGAAATTCCACGAACAACACATGCCACTCACGTGCCTCCCCATCAGTAGTATCACCGCTACTACTGTAGCTGAACTTAAACGAGAATGGCCTGGGGCCGCTGTTATTCCATATAAACCAGGGACATCGGAGGTCATTCGAAGATTTCTAAACACGGCTAACATAAGGGTAACTTTCCGGAGGAGAAACACTCTGCGCTCTGCACTCGTATACTTGAAGGATCGTCTCCTGGCAAATGGAACTAGGGACTATCAACAAAATCAAGCGTAACGACTGCAATAAGTTGTGTATAGTACTGACCGCCTAGGGAAGCCGAGAGCATAAGAGGAAAATAAGCAAGCCGCCGAGAAACGCGGATGAATATCAGGCGTAACAGAAGCACTCGACAGTTGCGGAACACGCACTGGATACGAGACACAAAATAGATTTAGAAAATGTTGAGTTTTTGACGCGAGAACTACGGTTCACGTGACAGAGTCTGATAGCCGAGGTGGTAGAAATCGCCAAGCGTCCCAGCGTTAGTAGCATAGAAGACGTGGAACTGGCAAGCGTGTGGAGAACGGTTTTGGATCAGTCGAGCTGACACGTGTTGGTGTGCGGTCATCAGGATGAGTAGTCATCATCTGAATTCCACTTGACCTCACAAACCCCCTTCAAACTAAATTGTCGGTGTCAGCGAATATACACTCATTTGCAAACTAATTTGTTTTTTTCGAGTGACCCACCTGGAACCCAGCTGAATCTCTCGTTTGTGATGTTCTTAGGCAACTCACAAGGAAAATCTACCAGTGGAACCCGAGGTGAATCATCAATTGAAGCACCCTGGACTGGGAGGTTAACGAACCAAACCCGATCAGAATTAATTTGAACCCCCCACCCAATCCACCAACGCAAGATTTTGACAAACACACTAACCGACAAGAGCCGTTAATTGACACTCAACATGGATCTAGTGTGATAATTTGGAGAGGACTTACTGATTGGTTCCCCGCCTGTCTTACAACCTGGCCAATTTGGTGATCTGCTCTCGTGGCCTGATGAAGCTTTTGTGTCAAAAGCGGAAAGTTACCCAAATAAAAACTGTCGACTGTTTGCCAAGCCCTTCTGAAACAGTCTAACTATTTGGCGACTCTCATGCTGAAGTGTCTTGTTTTGTGAAGGCCTTGAATTTTTGTATCCAGCGTTTGAGAAAATTTGGCAATCGGTGGGTATCGTGACCTGCTTGGCATCACAGCAAAATGCCTACCCTTAACAGCTGGACTCATCACTCTCAGAAAGATGTCGTTTATTCCACTGAGTTTTCAAATATGGAAAATCAACAGGTTCAAACTGGAAATGCGGAAATTCGAAATCAAACTGTAATTGCACTGACTACTGGGTGACTCAATAATATCAGGGTGCTGAGCACTGTAGTTTTTGTGGTTTGACTCTGGTGTATAAATGGAGTTTCTGGACTGAAATTTCACGCGAATCCAGTGTTTTCTGGAGAATTGATAGTAACATAATCGTCAACCATTGGTGGTTTAAACCCTTTTTGACATGAAATAGCTGGAAAATTGCCTCCAGACAGACTGATTAGAGAGAATAACGTGAAAACAAATCAAGTAGAGATGGTTAGAAAGCAACAGAATATCTTATTGCTCACTGCTTAGCGTTTAGCTACACATATGTGGCTGGAATGCAGACTTTGCCAAACCCAGATGTGAACCCATCTTTCCACATACATCTTTCCACAAACATTCTGACTACCAACTCGACAGAATTTCTTCCATACACAATTAAACCCGCCGCAGTTGTGTGTCTCTGTGCTGACAGATGTTTTCTGCCCTAGGATTTTTTCACCGTAGAATTTTTTCCTGGAACTGCCATTGACTCTTCCTTGGCAGGAATTTCTTTCAGGTCGGGACGCATCATAATAAAACCACGCATGGGTACTAAGTAGACCGTACTTATCTAAGACCCTACTATGGTGAGAAAAACAAATGTTTGTAATTTTATGGTTTGGTGGTGGTGAAGTGTACTTGCCTTATATCAAGGGCAAGAGCTCTCTTTACCCTCATGTTACCCAAGTTGATTTAATCTTTCCATCGAACAATTGCTATCTCTGTGATGTATGCAATCAGTTCGAGTAATTTTACGCTGGAAATCAATGGTTAGCATAGCAAGCCTGTCTTACACAATGGCCGGGAGTGAGCCATTGTGTTGTGCCATGTTCAGGTAATGGATATTTTTATGGTTACTGACCACATTCTGCTTGATTAAAGCAAAGCTAGTTCCCTGAGGCATTATCCCAGAAAACCGAAAGGAAAGAAAGCATATTTGTGTTCGCAAAGCCCTAAACATAAACAAGCGGAGCGCCGATGTGAAATGCTAGAACCTTACTTGGCGAACGCTCAAGGAACATACAATAGAAAGAAATCAGTCTACGGTGACCCGATTTGTAATGCGAAACGTTGATATTCTCATTCTTACAAAATAAGATCAGTTGCGCTCCAATTAGTTTTCACCAGTGGATCACTGGAATATGAGCTGGATCTCTCGTTCATGATCTTGTCAATTGGATGAGTCAACGAGCAGCCTCATATTAGAGTTGGTACCGTATTTGAGATTTAACAATACGTAGTACGGACGTCACACATTAGCCATAAGGCTGGTGAAAACGTTTCGACAGCTCACGAACGATTTTGCCCTTCTTAAGTTTCATCAGATCAACCTTCTGTTCAATTTGAAACCAAATTCCACAAAATTCGCGAAATACACTCATTTGCACATCCTTTTGTTTTTCATGGATGAGTAGATTCCTTCAAAATCTATACGGCATCGGCGAAAACTTGGGGAGCGCTACCACCCTCACGAACCTTAAAAAGAGCGGAAGCGGTCGTGGATTGTGGAAGTTTTCAGCAACCCTATGAGTAGTGTGCCACATCCATTCGAAACCTTTTAATGAGGCTTTTTGGACTATCATCATCCCCATTTCACACGTTTAGTCTTTCATCAATCTATGCTAAAAAGCCGAGAAGCACTGCACAGCTTGGGAATCATCAGTAGTGCGCATCTCACAAAACTCCGAAGAGTCTCGAACCCGCGACCTCCTGGCTAGTAGTTTGAACACTTAACCNCGAAATCAAACTGTAATTGCACTGACTACTGGGTGACTCAATAATATCAGGGTGCTGAGCACTGTAGTTTTTGTGGTTTGACTCTGGTGTATAAATGGAGTTTCTGGACTGAAAGTTCACGCGAATCCAGTGTTTTCTGGAGAATTGATAGTAACATAATCGTCAACCATTGGTGGTTTAAACCCTTTTTGACATGAAATAGCTGGAAAATTGCCTCCAGACAGACTGTTTGGAGAGAATAACGTGAAAACAAATCAAGTAGAGATGGTTAGAAAGCAACATAATATCTTATTGCTCACTGTTTAGCGTTTAGCTACACATATGTGGCTGGAATGCAGACTTTGCCAAACCCAGATGTGAACCCATCTTTCCACATACATTCTGGCTACCAACTCGACAAAATTTCTTCCATCCACAATTAAACCCGCCGCAGTTGTGTGTCTCTGTACTGACAGATGTTTTCTGCCCTAGGATTTTTTCACCGTAGAATTTTTTCCTGGAACTGCCATTGACTCTTCCTTGGCAGGAATTTCTTTCAGGTCGGGACGCATCATAATAAAACCACGCATGGGTACTAAGTAGACCGTACTTATCTAAGAGCCTACTATGGTGAGAAAAACAAATGTTTGTAATTTTATGGTTTGGTGGTGGTGAACTGTACTTGCCTTATATCAAGGGCAAGAGCTCTCTTTACCCTCATGTTACCCAAGTTGATTTAATCTTTCCATCGAACAATTGCTATCTCTGTGATGTATGCAATCAGTTCGAGTAATTTTATGCTGGAAATCAATGGTTAGCATAGCAAGCCTGTCTTACACAATGGCCGGGAGTGAGCCATTGTGTTGTGCCATGTTCAGGTAATGGATATTTTTATGGTTACTGACCACATTCTGCTTGATTAAAGCAAAACTAGTTCCATGAGGCATTATCCCAGAAAACCGAAAGCAAAGAAAGCAGATTTGTGTTCGCAAAGCCCTAAACATAAACAAGCGGAGCGCCGATGTGAAATGCTAGAACCTTACTTGGCGAACGCTCAAGGAACATACAATAGAAAGAAATCAGTCTACGGTGACCCGATTTGTAATGCGAAACGTTGATATTCTCATTCTTACAAAATAAAATCAGTTGCGCTCCAATTAGTTTTCACCAGTGGATCACTGGAATATGAGCTGGATCTCTCGTTCATGATCTTGTCAATTGGATGAGTCAACGAGCAGCCTCATATTAGAGTTGGTACCGTATTTGAGATTTAACAATACGTAGTACAGACGTCACACGTTAGCCATAAGGCTGGTGAAAACGTTTCGATAGCTCACGAACGATTTTGCCCTTCTTGGGTCTCACCAGATCAACCTTCTGTTCAATTTGAAACCAAATTCCACAAAATTCGCGAAATACACTCATTTGCACATCCTTTTGTTTTTCATGGATGAGTAGATTCCTTCAAAATCTATGCGGCATCGGCGAAAACTTGGGGAGCGCTACCACCTCATGAACCTTTAAAAAGAGCGGAGGCGGTCATGGATTGTGGAAGTTTTCAGCAACCTTATGAGTAGTGTGTCACATCCATTCGAAACCTATTAATGAGGCTTTTTGGACTATCATCATCCCCATTTCACCCGTTTAGTCTTTCATCAATCTATGCTAAAAAGCCGAGAAGCACTGCACAGCTTGGGAATCATCAGCAGTGCGCATCTCACAAAACTCCGAAGAGTCTCGAACCCGCGACCTCCTGGCTAGTAGTTTGAACACTTAACCATTCGGCCACGGGCGGCTGATCAGCAGTGTGACTGACTCGCACTTGGACAGGATATAGCGCCGCTCATCCTTCAATCACAGGATTTACATCACAACTGTACAGTGCTTCTCGTCTTTGCAGCATAGAATGGCTTCAGTTACAGGACGGAATCTCCACAAAAATCTCAAATCTCCTCACACTACCAACAGGCTTTCATTAATTTCTCGAATTGGCTTCCTAGCACGAAACTAAGACCTCTTATTAAAATGTACGGTATCAGACTGCTTTTTTGAGGTTCATTATTAAGTCAAAGATGCGTTGAAAGGTACTAAGAGCAGCAAAAACGTTAGTTTGACCCAAAAGAATGAACAATTTTGTTTATCGTTGTAATGTACTACTCATAAGGTTGCTGAAAATCCGTCGATAGCCCGCGACCGGTTTCGCCCTTTTTGGGGCTCATCAGATAGGCGCAGTCCCCGGGTTTCCGTCAACCTTATTTTCTACTTGAAACAAATTGCACGAGACTACATGTATCGCGATATCTCGAATATCGTAGCGACTGAAACATGAGGCGGCCTGGTACAGCACATTCAGTTGCCTGAGAACATCACAAACGAGAGATTCAACTGGGTTCCAGGTGAGTCTCTCGAAAGACCAAACTAGTCTGCAAATTAGTGTATATTCGCGAACAATTTTGTTGTTTGTCAAAAAGGTGTATATTTGTACTAACAAGCCGACTCTTTCAGTTCTGTGATGCGGTCAGTCGGCACCGTCGTGGATTGCACGAAGTCATCCATCGACTGGATATAGAATGGTCAGCCAAAACTTTCAGTGGAACTTATGAGGAGGCAGTTGACATGTACCAGTTAATTTATGTAAGTCTGTGCGATTGGAGACACCTGTATATCATTTGTACTTCGTAACATAACCTGGGTTACATTGTTCAGTGAAGTTGTTAGATCGAGTCGTCGCTGCTCGTACATGGCGTTACAGTTTGCAGTGAAGTTGGAATTGTGGTGTCACGAAACGGCCATTAATTCGTACTCGCCGTCATGGGCCGAAAGTTAGTGTCGATTCTGGTGCTCAAGAATTTGCGTGGCCAAAAATATGCTATTTTCGTTGCTAACAATCGCGATGTTCCTTTTATGCTCAATTTACTTCCGTTAGGATGTTAAAATCTCATAATCAAAATCGAAAGGGGATGTGAGGTGCAAAAAGGTTACTATTTTTGATCACCGGAAGGAGTTGTGCTGTTACAGCACGGGTTGCAAAGTAAAGATATGATCCATACAATCCAGACCAGGGAAGAACCCCTATTGATTCTCGCGAATCGGGCTCTCCCGATGATGGACCAACGTGCATAGGATAATACAACGGACACCCTGAGGGTTAAGACCACCAGGCCGATTCCCAGGTAGTTTTCACACAATATTCCCACACCTTTTTTGAACATGGGGATCACTGGCGAGGCGATTTATTTTGTCGGTGTTCCTTCCTTACTCCAGTTATTTCACAGTGAGGTTGAGTGAACACTCTACTGTGTTATATTATTCATACATGTTCATTAGAAAGTATTCAACCAAACGTTTTCGTGGGAGAAATGTTGCAACTGCTGCTTTACTTAACTTCGTTCAGAAATTGCGCCAAAAATTTCTGGAGTTTTGGAAGACTTATGAACACTTGGCTCTGGAAAGTCAGAAGATTATCCCGCTGCAAACAATGATGGAAAACCGACCCACCCGAGCTAAGCCCCTGTGCTCCCTATCATGGGAAAACGTGAGTCATCTGGTTCTTTACATTTCTCACTTAACCTCGCCGAGCACGTAAACCTAATATCTAATTAACGTTTACAGCTGACCACTGGTAGCTTTCACAATCGTTGATAGACAGTCCGTGCCAAAAGATATTGTTTGAATTGAGCGGATCTCCAAAAAGCCATGCCATATATGCGCTTGTACACATGAGGGTGATATCCATTTCTCCTCGGATTTGTCGACAATCTATCGCAGCATTTTGTCCCTAGATTGTCACTGTCGTTGCCTGTGTAAGTTCGAGCCTTTGTCCTTATCACTACTTAAGTGAGCGGCTCACGATCAGTAAGGGTGTTTTCAATCACCCAGCCTACCTTTACTTTTTCAAAACACATTCATTCTTAGACAGTAGGCGCCTTGGTGAAATGCTGACACACAATATAGCTAAATTCGAATTTGTGTGGCTGCCCACTGCAGCCACTCTGGGTGATATCTGAGTCTAATACAAAAAATTTCCTCCTAATTCGTCACTCCTCTTACTTTAAAATTTCACTTTCGTGAGCCGCACAGCAGGGCGCGTGTTCTAGTCTGGTTAGCAGTGATGTCTCCTGAAGCCAGAAGGTCACCGGTTATAATGAGTACGTATGACTACACAGCACCATCAAGTGTAACCTGGCTGTCGTAGAGAATAGAAAGTATCTCACGCAATTGCGACTATGTCCTGTGCACAAGATACTTGCTTTCCTTAAACTGGCACCACTACGCAATGAATGTGGTTGGAAGCTGTATCAGGTAATACAGTAGAACTCCTGTACGACGTCTAACGAAGGAGCTGTTCGTAGACTAGCCCTTTGGAGAGTTAAAAGCCGTAGTGGGTAGAAATGTGTATTAGTGTAAAGAATTCGTTCACCACTGAAGCACAGAATATGGACTGCGTGGTGTTTATTCGAATGCTCATGGATACGGAATCCCTCCTCTAATGCTGTTAACAGACGGTGAATTCGCAGGACCGACAGAAGTGGATTTTTAATAAACAATGAACTCTTATGAGGGATTCAGCTATACCACCGAGGTATGCGATTTCATGCACTTCACGCCGTAAAATATTAAGTATCCTAGAGCAAAATATTATTTCATCAGACCCTCTAATCTCGATAGGAAGATGACTCACCACTGTTAGATTTGAATAACAATAGGTAAGGGGCTCTTCAAGGAGGGTTCGTCCTAGTTCAGAGATTGTGTGCTTATACTTTCGAATTTGTTGACCCGCCTTGTTCACCGTACACAATTATAAACCAGTCTTTCCATTGTTGCCCATTGAGAAGCGGTCTTCAATAGTAGGTTTCTTTGGGGGAGAATGATTAGGTCTTACTGAAAGACAAACTGATGGACTTATCTTTTTCAGGCCACTTAAATAGGACGGTTCAAGAAACATTATGAGTCCTTCCGCCGGGAAGTGAAGGTACACGTCAAACGAAAGAAGCAAACATACAAATGTTACTGATAACACCTCACAACTACTAACATACGCGAGTTGTATGAAATCCTGAAATCTATTTCGTCAGCAAATAGCATGAAGAAAATATGAGCAGAATTTCATGTAGTGGGTTTTCGATCACATGGGGAAAATTATATTGTTCCATCATTACAACTGTTTCTGAAAGCACCTTCTACAGTCAGTGGACTCGAATGAGTAGTCACCATATCAGTACTTTACTCCTTGGAGGCTTTGGAATAAAGCACACCCATGGACAGGACTAGATTTCAAACTCTTGCTATCCGTATGTGAGGCAGCTTGGTTACAATAGTACTCAACTGCACTGAAAGACAACCTCAGGAGAGACCATCCTACAGAAGTGGCCAGTTTTGGCTGGTCCTCTGAATCGTTCATTGAATTATAGAACCCTGGAGCAGCAAAATCTCAAGTCCGACCACGGCCCGTATTCGACATCTCATGTGAACATGTGCTTACTCGCTGCTGCTTCGCGTGATTTGAATGAAAGATTCACGCGTATTTCGTCATGTCGCATTCACTAGGGCAGCGTAGATAGGTTTTTAAAAGAAATTATTGAAAATACTGTGTATATTTTGCGTGCACGATTGGTGTTAAACAAAATTATGCATAAAGAATATAAGGCATAGTGGAAGAATTATCTGATAAATCCTTGGTAAATCATACAGTCCATATGGTTTGAGTTATTGCAGTTATAATCCAGATAATACATAAACCATCGTTTCGGTCGACAGTTTTTATTTGGGTAATGTTTCGCTTTTTACACAAATGCTTCATCGAGCCAATCGAGCAGGTCACCAAATTGGCTACGTTATAAGGCAGACTGGAAACTAATCAATAAGTCCTCTTCAGATTATCACACTAGATCCGTGTTGAGTTTCGGTTAGTGTGGTTGTCAAAATCTTGCGTTGTTGGATTGGGGGTTTCAAATTAATTCTGATCGGGTTTGATTTGTTAATCTTCCACTTCATGGTGCTTAAGTGATGATTCACCTCAGGTTCCACTGGTAGATCTTCTTTGGTCTTTGTGGGGCTGTGAGTGCTCCAACAATTCAGTTTGAGGAGGAGGGGGTGAGGTCAAGTGGAAATCAGATGATGACTACTATTCCTTCTGATGACCACACTCCAACACGTGTCAGCTCGACCGATCCACACACTTTCCAGTTCCACGCCGTCTATTCTACTAACACTGGGATGCTTGGCGATTTCTACCTCCTCGACTATCAGACTGTGACGTGAACTGTAGTTCTCAACTCTACTAGTCTCAAAATGGAGCAGTTTCCTACTAGGTAAAATGATTTTGGCTATTCGGTACAGAGATTGCTGATAGATCACACAGCCAAAATGGACAGTGTTCCAGAATAGAAAATCAAGCGGCCTACTGGTCCGATTTAGAATATACTGAATCAGTTAACTATGAATTGTGATAATGCAGGGGTGAGATTTTGCCCCATTTACACTCTAAGGAACTGAACTGATGTAGGTCCCGTTTATCACAGCTTTTGCATGTTAGTGAGTTCATTAGATCGGTATACTCAGTCTAATCAACTGATTTCAAGCAGTTACCTTAACCAAATTAATCATCTGACATTAAATTATTTCCTGTGATTTCAACAGAATACTATCGACGGACACACAGATTTGGTACTGGAACACCGATTGGGACACATGCTTTGGCGAGCACACATTGCAGACCATGAGGTAGAAAAACTGACCGTCAAAAAGAACAGGTTTAATCTGTTCGGATTTCGAAAGCATTTATTGTCATCACACGAGATCAGTGATTCACCACCAGGCAATCAAGTTTTATGCGTCCCGGAGTTGTGCATTCGTCTGGATGGCCAAAATAATGTTACAAGTGAGCTGGTTCAACGCTTCCGCTCCGAACTTTTTGAAAGCTGGTCATTGGCGATTGACAAGGTCGCTCCGCTTCTACTAAACTTCATTTCTTCCATTTTTACTCAGTGGATTAGTTTGAATGTGAGTTTTAGCCCTTTTTAAATTCTTGAAACACTGATTCTTTTGTGAGGACAAGTTTAGGATAATCAACAGGGATGAAGTATTTTTTGTTTGGTGGACCCATTACTTCATAAAGAAAGCTTCTGGTATATAGTCTTGAGTTTCGAAACAGTGATAATTTGCAATTGTTGATCTGATCTTCTTAGCGGAAACTGCCCACCTAAAGAATAAGGTGTTTTTTAAAAACCATTGAGCGATTCATCTGGGCATCAGTGCACACCACATTATTATGTTCAACAGTGAGGATAGGCCTGTCCAATAAGAGTTCAAAAATGCATCTCTTATTGGTCACAATCTAGTGTACAACCTCTGAAGCGGAGTGGCATGTCTCTCGCCCGAATTGCATTGATGACTCGTATTCCTCCTTGGTGAATGCAGTGCAGTTATGTCGTTTTCGTCGACCAAATTTTACGTATCGGTTGAGTGAGAAGATGGCTACTTGTCCAGCCAGAATATTTCGAGCGCTTTCAAAGTTCTGTAGTGGTAGTAGGAAATGTCGCCCATGTCGGTGAGTTGGAGTGCAGCCCTGGCTATTGCCCAGAGTACATATGTCGCTTGTGTGAATAAGGATGAAACTCGAGTAGCGTTTCTGGGAAGATTTTGAACATTCCCCTGAGGACTGTTACTGATGTGTAGCAAAACAAACCAAGAGGTTTTACGAATAATTTGATACAAGTGTTCGTTCATTACTACGTTAAAACCGGACGCTTGTGTGAAAACTCTTGCCACAACCAAACACCTACACGTTCTTGGAGGAGAACAAGACCATTTGCTTACGTTACAGGCATGATAGAAAATACACCAAAATACTGGCGAAAGGAAGAAAGCCTTTGCTGCTGAGTTGCTTATTAGAAAACGTCAGTTACAGACAGTTACATCTGGACAGGGAAGCAAAACTCTCATATGCATCTTGTCTACAAAGACTGAATAACCATATTCTCTTTGAACGTGCCTTCCTGAAATGTCCTGGATATTAATTGACTGTTGCTCAAATCCAAGCGAATGCTACAAAGCGACTCCACAAAGTCCGCAATAGATATCATTTTTTAAGAGACGCAAAGCGGGCTCACGAGAGAACATACCACTCGCATGCCTCCCCATCAGTAGTTTCACCGTTACACTGGTAGCTCGGGTGCGTTCACTCGTGATTGATCAGTTGGCGGTTGATCTGTCTGCTCAGCTCAGCGAACAAGCCAAAAGCCGCCTGACCAGCTGCTAGATATAATCCACAAAAATGGACTACGTCATTGTCAGCTGAGGTTCTGTTTGCAGTAAAATCACGCTCCACTAACAAATGGGTTACTATCCCACCAGAATAGTCCTCTTGAATCCCACTTCTTCATATTCCTTTACTTGTCTGTACCGCCCCGGTCAATGAGTTATTCAAGAAATTTGATGATGTAATCACATCCACTTAGTGATTCATGTGTTATGCATTCCTTGTGGAAAATCTGGTTTAACCTAGACTCAGAGAAACTGACACCGAGGGTGATGTCACCTGACCAATTTTTCAATTCTCAACCACAATGCAAATGTGGATAGACGTGAGGCAATAATGTGGCCAAGAGTGATCATATATTATTAATAACGTTAAAGCATATACCTTTACTTAGTCTGCCACAAATCCTCAAATTATGTTACAACGTCACGCTTGAAGTGACTGTCCTATACTTCCATTTCACCAACCAGGTAATCAGCCGAGTGCCAAAAACTCTGAAGAGCCCTAAGAAAGAGTTGTCCGCTTTTCTGGCGTTTGTGGAGAAAGTTTTTAATGTGATGGAATCGGACCCGAGTGTGGAATGGCGTCAGGTTTTGAAGCAGATTCGCCTGATTCGTCTGTGTTTATCGCCCGCTTCTATCGCGGGGCGGGACGGAGTTCAAGCCAAGAAGAAATTTGATCGTAAGTATTTTTGGTGAATATGGAAAGCGTCTAGCCGATAAGCATTCAGTATCGCTTGTGTGAATAAGGATGAAACTCGAGTAGCTTTTCTGGGAAGATTTTGAACATTCCCCTGAGGACTGTTACTGATGTGTAGCAAAACAAACCAAGAGGTTTTACTAATAATTTGATACAAGTGTTCGTTCATTACTACGTTAAAACCGGACGCTTGTGTGAAAACTCTTGCCACAAACAAACACCTACACGTTCTTGGAGGAGAACAAGACCATTTGCTTACGTTACAGGCATGATAGAAAATACACCAAAATACTGGCGAAAGGAAGAAAGCCTTTGCTGCTGAGTTGCTTATTAGAAAACGTCAGTTACAGACAGTTACATTTGGACAGGGAAGCAAAACTCTCATATGCATCTTGTCTATAAAGACTGAATAACCATACTCTCTTTGAACGTGCCTTCCTGAAATGTCCTAGATATTAATTGACTGTTGCTCAAATCCAAGCGAATGCTACAAAGCGACTCCACAAAGTCCGCAATAGATATCATTTTTTAAGAGACGCAAAGCGGGCTCACGAGAGAACATACCACTCGCATGCCTCCCCATCAGTAGTTTCACCGTTACACTGGTAGCTCGGGTGCGTTCACTCGTGATTGATCAGTTGGCGGTTGATCTGTCTGCTCAGCTCAGCGAACAAGCCAAAAGCCGCCTGACCAGCTGCTAGATATAATCCACAAAAATGGACTACGTCATTGTCAGCTGAGGTTCTGTTTGCAGTAAAATCACGCTCCACTAACAAATGGGTTACTATCCCACCAGAATAGTCCTCTTGAATCCCACTTCTTCATATTCCTTTACTTGTCTGTACCGCCCCGGTCAATGAGTTATTCAAGAAATTTGATGATGTAATCACATCCACTTAGTGATTCATGTGTTATGCATTCCTTGTGGAAAATCTGGTTTAACCTAGACTCATAGAAACTGACACCGAGGGTGATGTCACCTGACCAATTTTTCAATTCTCAACCACAATGCAAATGTGGATAGACGTGAGGCAATAATGTGGCCAAGAGTGATCATATATTATTAATAACGTTAAAGCATATACCTTTACTTAGTCTGCCACAAATCCTCAAATTATGTTACAACGTCACGCTTGAAGTGACTGTCCTATACTTCCATTTCACCAACCAGGTAATCAGCCGAGTACCAAAAACTCTGGAGAGCCCTAAGAAAGAGTTGTCCGCGTTTCTGGCGTTTGTGGAGAAAGTTTTTAATGTGATGGAATCGGACCCGAGTGTGGAATGGCGTCAGGTTTTGAAGCAGATTCGCCTGATTCGTCTGTGTTTATCGCCCGCTTCTATCGCGGGGCGGGACGGAGTTCAAGCCAAGAAGAAATTTGATCGTAAGTATTTTTGGTGAATATGGAAAGCGTCTAGCCGATAAGCATTCAGTACAGAAAAATTATTGTGCAAAGAGTCCACCATCTTACATGTACCCTCGTTCAAAGCGTTTGCAGATAAGTCAGTAATTAGATAATAATAACGAAAGATCTTCGAATTGTTAAGTCCAATTCATTTGATCATCAGCCGCTAATGCCCAGTTTTTCGGTGTCAATGTGTTAACTTTCAATGATTATAATCACAACCAGTCGAATAGCCTAGGTGGAATCTAGGTGTCAAGTACAAATGGCCTTCGAAAACCAGTTAAAATTGCCATCCTAAAGGTAAGAACTCTCTTTGAACTTGGATACTTTAAAACCATATCGATGGTGAATCAAATTCGAGATAATGTATTTTAATATCTCGACAACTTGCAGTTCAAAGATGAGGGTGCTATTTGTGCGAGTATCGTTCAAAGGTGTTCATTGGGAAACCTAAACGTTTTGAACTGTAGTGCCAACATAGCCATTGAGATACGACCCGAGCTGACATGATAAAGTCCTTGGTGTTCCCAAGACTCATAACAAAGAGCCTAATGGTCCTCCGGTCATCCTCACAAAACAGACTCAGAGAGGTGAATCACGTGCTTACCATGCTGTTCTTTCTCACAACTGTTAGGAAAGCAATTCTGTGCTGGGTAAATTTTGTGTTTACCTACCCTACTGTGGATTTTGTCAGACCGAATTAGCCGCAGTACGTCAACTGGTGCAACGACCACTTCGTCCAGGCTAGACCCAAAGCTCGATACGGTCCTTCGTCAGAAGCGGGAAATATGGTTCCTTCTGGACAAACTTCAGGTATATATATATATATATATATATATATATATATATATATATATATATATATATATATATATATATATATATATATATATATATATATATATATATATATATATATATATATATATATATATATATATATATATATATATATATATATATATATATATATATATATATATATATATATATATATATATATATATATATATATATGGGACTAAGACTACTGTGCGATCCAATATGCCGTTTTAATTTCCTGTTGTGATGCAAGGTATACGGTTGTGACTGAATCAAACTAGAGTTTCTGGTGACTGGGGCTAACTAAGACCTTCATGTAAATGACGGAAAGTGTGCTTATCAATCTGCTTGTGAAATCCAGCAATATTCAAACGCACAAGCTGCATCAGAACTCCTGCTTGTAGCTATGGTAACAATAAATTCTGCCACCGAGGGTACAGGGGGAGGGTGCCATCACGAGACAAAAGGATCTATTGACGCTGGTATTTTTCACCGATTTTGCTGCGCAAATAATGTTCCATTTTTTAGTTTGGCGGAAGATCTATAGAAATTCAAACATCAGATCAGATCATTTTGAAAGAGCTGAAACCATTAGTGGTCTGTTGGAAAGTGCTCATCAGTCTTGTCAAAATTGACATTATATTAGCTTGCTGAAAAAATAAATCAGTATTGTCGGACACACACAAACTGGCTACATTTATTCGTGAGTTTGAACGAGAACCAAATTTAGCTTATAGTTCAGGGATAAAGAGGGACTATGAGACGGCGTGAACCGCTTTTGATGTTCCGACTGACTCTTACAAAGAGCTTTTTATCCATGAACGGTCAGTAGTGTATCTCCAGGAAGAGTCAGCTAATTACCAAGCTACAGGTCTGGAATTTGAACTACCATGCATCGTCGATCGTCCACTTGATAGCCCTCAGTTCAGTAATGAAATATAAGCAACTAACTCACCGCGCGACTGGTTCGTGTAAGTCTAAGTGATGGGCCCTAACAGGACAAAAAGAGTCCTGTTCGACTACTTATATTGAGAATGTGTTAATAATTCCCGTGTGCGGAACATGCCATTCATTTTTATTTTGACCAAGGGAATTATTACACCTTGTTCGTTATTTTATTGCCTGCAGGAATTTATGAATATAAGAAAATTCTTTGAAGAACAGTCTGGACTCATCGTACAGACAGTATTGAAAGATGACGAAACTGGCCCGTTCAGTCAGGCAGACATTGAACTTATGTTTCGGTCAGTTTTTTATTTACTTTGGCCCACAAGAACCAGGATTTCTGAAGAAAGCACTACTCACCAATGTAACATGCATTTGGCAGCTACCTTATTAGGCGTCTCACTTTAATGGCTTTTCTGGTCGCGGCATTGTCTCTTTGGGTCTTAATCAAGTCATTAAATTGGAATAGCGTTCAAACTTTCGATGTTTGCTTAGTTCACCAGAGAGGTTGATTTAACTTTGCCACAAACAACAGAAAATACTGGAGTGGTTTCAATGTTTTATTTCCACGACCTACCGACTTTCTGTGCCGTCTGGCATCTATCTTTCATTTCTGGGGTTAAATGAGGCGAAGCATTGATCCCATGTCCTCAAATACTTTCTCCCACAGTAAACCATGAAAATCCTTCAAGTATGCTGTTAACACTCATGTTATGAGCCTAAGAAAGGCTCAAATAAATTTTCAAATAGTTAACCCAATAGACTTCTATTAGTTATATTTTACTAGTGGGTGGTCTAAACTAAAATTGTTATTGAATAGACGACAAAATGATAGAAGTAATAAAAAATTTCGAATTGAGTTCCCTCGATTGCCACATTTCTGTAATTGACTTCTTTATGATATTCTCAATTTCTTATCTACAACCTTGCAGGGAAGTGGTGTACAGTGCTCCAAGGGATATCATTTGGGAATATTTGTCACGGTGCAAAATCGTGCCCAAAACAAAGGAGATGAAGCAGCTTTTGTTTGCATCCGCGGGAATTCGTGTCGATAAGCAGTCGGGTTCGTTCAACCAAATCTCATCCACAGCCGACACCCACGGTATGAATGATCGCATGAAAAAGATCCAGGATGGAGATCTGTCTTCATGTTTTTACCCCGCTGATTCGGTGAAGGGACAGGGTGTGTTAGCCTCTGAAGCAAAAAAGACAACAGGTGAGTATTTCTTTGCGTACTCAAAGGATAATGCAATCACACATAGGCTGAATAAAATTAGAAGTCACCGACTGAACCTTTTTTTACTTAAACTTGTGCACTTGGGTCAGCTCCCATTCTAGTTCCAAACCTACGATCCAAGTGTAGCCTTAATCGGTTGTGGCTTTTGTGTACTACTCAAATTGTAGCCACCGAAGCGTTTTGTGCCTCCTGGGCATGGGTAATGGTTCACGATACATCAAGTGCGACACGAGAATTATTGGTTAGTTCTGACTACGGGTAGATCAGAAAGATTATGTATTTTGAGGGGGTGCGGCTTAGTGATAGAAGTGAACCAACTATTCGCTGTTGTATGCCACGACACATTCAGTGGATTGTATATAAGGAAATGAGAGAGTACAGCAAGATAAGGTTTCTAAAATAAATGGCAGTTCGCTAACCAGCCATGTGGAGACATCGAATCTATACAATTTCACCATCACTTCTCATGCCATCGTAGTGAATGTGCGGGTGGCAAATTTGTTCAAAGTTTTATTAAAATTTTGATGACAACGTTCATGAAGCTCACCAACCTAATATTGGTGAATTAAAGTAAGTCAAAGAATGCAGCTAAATCCACACAGCTGAGGAAGTGTCATCGTAAGTGACAGGATTTTCCTACAAGGCCTAAGAGTGGATTCTGTATCCGTTGTTTTGTTGGTTGAAAGGAATGACTTGATGGTAGACTATAATCCTCATCAATCGAGGTGGCATTATGTGTGTATATTAAGCTAGCGGTGAATCGGCGTGTAAGCCCGCACCCCGAAGCATCTGCCCAGAGTGAATTCCTCGATTCAGGTTAGAGTATAAAAAAGTAAACTAGACCGTGAAGGTATGGGTTGAAGTTGGTAACGAATAAAGCGAAGTCCACAAATTCCACACAAAGCATTCCGAAAATTTCGCTCATAATATCCCAGAATTCACAGTAGAATGCCTTTATTTTTCATGAGACTTCCAGTCATGCTGGGAACCTCAGCTTAGAAGCATTGCACCCAAGAAGGATGATAGCTATAAAAATAATTACTCAAGACGACATAGCCTTTGTAGTGTTCCACTGCCATCAGCGAACATTCATCTTCTCCCTAAGAAACTTACGGAACGCTACTAACGAAATGAAACGGCTTATGTAACTCAGTCTAAGATGCGGACAGATGCACTTGCTGATATGACTGACTAGCTGCTCGTTCAAATTTCACTGTATTATGTATGTCGGATTAAATTTTGGTGCATATGGTGATAGATGACGTTTTTCCAGGCATCCGTACTGCGAAAGCTAGTCCCATCCTATGGGTGTGTGAGCAATGACTGGTCTGACAGTCCTTTTTATTCAGTTTTTCTAAAGTAGTGCTTTACCCAAGATACAACAGTACGCAGCCATTTCGGTCATAAACCGCTTGTCCAACTTTTCCAACACGCGAATAGCAAAACGAATCCGTCTCTAATGAGGTAGTTCCTTAAAAATTCACTCCCGACGGTTTCAAATGCTGGCCTCTGTTGGCGGGGATTCAACTGAATTTGACCTTGCTTCACCATCGCTATCCGATAAGAAAACGAGCTGGTCGCTGGCTTACTCACCCAACCAAAAGCGGGAAATCTTAACGTTATTCCTGCACTGTATAACTGAAGCTTAAAGCACTTTCATTTTCAGACCTCACTATGAACTTGGTTTGCATTCATTATGCTTTTTAACCTCACACCAGGTTGCCCATGGGAAGCTGATCACACGATCGACAAGTCGAATTTTAGAAATTCAGTCAAGGTTCACATCATTCCAAGTGAATACCGAGGGAAAAATGAGACAGGCACTTCTTTGTTACTCTCTACTGAACGGAGTATGAACGAACAGGTGAAGCAGATGCACAGTGTGAGACATGAGAAACCTTTGAATGCCGAAGAACGGATGGCTCGGCAACAAAACATTATAACCGAAGGTGAGCATCTCTAACATACTTTAGATTGGTTAAAAGTGTTTGATGATGAAATGCTATCCAAAATCTGTAAAGTCGCTCATGCACTGCTAACTTATTTCCGAACGAAAATTACTGAACAGAATTTCAACAAAAACCTGCTCTTTATGTTAGACTTGTGCGTCTCGCCTCTAATAACATTTAAAACGATACACATTCAACAGCTTACTCCATAGAAGCTAATAACTATGGTCCCAAAATAGAGCGGAACATTCTGACAAGGAAATATCTCTGGGTTTAAAGAGACAGTGTGTCGACTCGAAAATTGTACATAACAACCAATTAGATGTGTCCACCAAGCGTGCTTGTTTGGGCTATATAGAATCCCATACGCGTAGCAAGCGTTGCCCTCTTCCACTTAGTTTGCGCCCCGTTTACTTGACGTCTTTATCTTATTGGTGGTGACGACTCGGTAATTATCAGATAGGTAAAAGCGGTTTGCTGGACATAAATTTAATATCACCGACTAGGGCGACACATCCGTGCAGGACTTCAATAGGCCCACATAATACTGACCAATGAGTGCAGTTTGGACATAACTAGTCCCCAGGTTGGTCACTGGTATATTAGCCGATTTCCCTCCTTCAGTTGACGACGCGATATCCTTCTTTGATATTCTTGTTTGCTAAGTAGGTTTGATGTACGGCTTAGATTAGTGCAATTGAAAACTGCTCTGTTTTTCCGTCAAATGCTAGTACAGGACTATTAATCCACTGACCAGCCTTGTTCATTTGTGGTTTGTTCACATTTGCACAAATTTACAAATGATTGAACCAGATTCTCTATGAAATATAGCCCATTGCTCAAATTTGCTATCAGAATTCTCTGGGGGATTCATTCCGAGGTCCAGCTAAGATCCTTGATCTCCATAAAAGGCAAACATCTTGAGAGAGTGTCTGGGCTTTAGTATGGATTACCTGAGCTGCACATGACCAACGCCTTTTTGAAAATACTTTTTGGCGCATTGCCTACAAAATACCGATATTCACGTAGACAGCCATAAACGTAAGAATACATTTTCAGTAGTTTGCTAACCACTTCACATCCATTATTAAAATATGTAGACCGTATGCAAATCGAGGGTTATTTAAAAAAGGGATCATCGTCCACTGCATATTTCCTTATCGAAATGGAATTTATTTTCGTTTGTAGTAGGATGGAACATCCGGAACCTCCCTGAATTGTCACAAAATTTCGAATGAGTTGTTCACCTTAAGGTTATCCCAATGCATTCGTTGGTATTCCCTATTGCTTGTGTATGTATTCTAGCTAAATTAGGATCACATGTAAACTTCACCTCACTGGTGTGGATGAAGATGAACTACCAGAGATCCTTGGTGGAAAGAACGAATACAATTAACATTGGGTTTTTGTGGTTATACTGCAAACTTCAGCAATTATAAAGGCTAGGCATTAAACACATTACTTTGGATCTTATCGTACCATTCAAATACATGATTTTTATTGATGTTCCCGAATGGACAGGCACAGCTTTCTAATCCTTCGATTGGTGATAATCTGCTGCAGATTGTGGGAATCTCAGGTGCAAGTAGATTAGTATTACCGGGCTCGCTTTTCAAGGGGTTGATAGGTGTGAGATAATTGCAGAACTATGGAACAAACTACCAGTAATTAGGACGAAGAAGCAGCGGATCGTTTGAAAATAGTGTGTTCCCGTATTTGAAAATGCACCTTCCCCTGAAGGAGATCTATTGATACACCATTAAGTGCATTTTGACATTATGTTGTCTGATCCTGCTGTTCTAATTTGGACTTGATGTTATTTCTCCTAACAAGTTGAGGCTGAGGCTGACAGAATGCACAAGCCTCCCAGTTAACCTGTGCCCAGGATCAACCAATCAGAGGTTCTTGGGACTGATGTCGTTGGTTGTCTTAATTTCAATTCACATTCACTAAACGCTCAAGAACATTCGTTTTTCGCCTTAATTGTTTAGCATGCTACAAAGTGAATTCACTCTTATGCAAAGGCTAGCTTTTATGTATTCATACTAGTCTTTGCATGAATTTCGGAAAGTTCATTCAACCAAAATTTTTAGGCCAGTTCGTATGTTTGTGAAACTCACCTACGGGCAGTAGCACTAGCCTTGTAAGAGAAGTCTACGGGTTGATTGCATCTGGCTCACTATCGACATTTTCTCGATTGCGCCTTCTAGGTGGGCAACAACAACAACACTGGGTAGGCTGCTTGGATTCGGAATCGGCCTATCACATTCATCATCCAAAGCATGAACTTTCTTCCTCGGTGAGCAGCGTCACTACTTTGGTGAATGAACTTTCTCAACAGAACGGACCAGACGATCTCAAATACAAACCCTCAGTTCATGTGACAACATCCATAAGGGATATAATAAACGAAAGGCAGACAAATGGCGCCTCTATAGACCGCAGTATTTCAACCAAAAGTCTTCAACCTGCTGAGAGCACAAGCTTTTCTTGGCCTGTTGGTGAGATATTCGTACCTTCAAGAAAAGTAGCCAGTCATAGTGGGCTGACGACAAGTAAGTTTTAATACTGATCCAGATAGGTTGATTTGCATAGGAATACGGTAAAAATTTAAGTGTTCCTGAACTATATCCTACCAGCGTCATGCTTACTAAACCAATCTCTTAAAAAAGAGTCTGGAAGGGGCATGTCTACTCTATTGTTTGGTATGTTAGGTTAATGTGATATCCTTTTACACTGCATCATATTTATAAAACGCGTATTACTCATTAAGTGCTTCATGAAGTCTCAAAGTAGTCAATGAACTGTAATTCACAGATGGAAACGTGACTTATGCAGACTTTTGAGACAGATGCGCCATAATGTATAATTTTGGAAGCACAAAATCCCTTAGTCATATTGTAACATTGTTAAACAAAAGATGATTATAGTATCAGCATTCTAAAAAGGTCACTAATCATTTTTGAGATGTTCTAAACGATTTTACAGCACCATGGAAATGCTACGTTTATGAGTGTTTCATGAACATTTGAGCAAAAAAATGTGCCTTTATCATGTTACTGAACACCAGGTGACTGACTGGTATGAGTACCGCACACATGATCAGTACTCTGAATCTACTTTGCTAGCAATGTACACAAGGTCTAATGGAATTAAGTAAAAATAGTAAGAGGCAAGCGACCAACAAGTCACATGGCAAGGCTAGCACTGGCATGCCTAAAAAAAGATTAGCGGTGCTTTTCCTGCGAGGGATATATTTATGGAGATCTGTACTTTTGAGGAAGAACATTCAAGAGGGACGCAAGTACCAGATTTTACCTACAAATCTGTAACTTGATTATGGGTATTTTGAAGACTACTTAAGTTCAGAATTTTGCGAATCTCTCAGAAATTCTTGATCAATGAGCTGAAGTGCATTTCTACAGATCTGAATTAATTCAGCATAAGGGATCAATCTGAGCATATCAAGGCTACCAAAAACTGGCCTTTGATTGTTGACTATATCCATCAGCCTCATAAAGACATTATCTTTGTCCACTTATTCAAACACAGCTTACCAAATTTATTATATGTGAAATCAAACTAAAAGCTTGTATTAGAGAAGCAAAACGGCCTGCGTTCTTTCTTGGCCGCTACGCCACCATAAATTTGTGGGAGATGACTATTCTTACTAGCCTCTTGATCCTAACTAGTGTATTTTGTTAAACCGTTAGACGAGCGAAAACACCCAGAGGGAAGCGGATAGAAGACTGAATCCAGAAGTACATAAAGTAGAGTGGCTCCAATATCGTGAAGCATCTGAAAGACAAGTCTTTAAAGGAATGGTGCCATGTAGATGCATTGCTAAAGGTGGGGAATTGTACAAAGTATGACAATCATTGTTGGGGAAATACCTCTTACAGGACCTTGGATGATCTTTCGTGGTCGTGATGACAGTGTCGTGTCACAAAGACGCACCCGAACTTACCAAGCATTCTCTGTCCCAGCTCACAGAGTGATAAGTATATTGAACATCATCATCATCACTCACGACATCATTATTCAACAGTGATGCCTCGTTGTAAGCAGATATTGCATGCCAGAATACAAATGACTAGTTACGAAAAAAAATAATCTAGCCAATCATGCTTGTCTGGGTTCATAAAAATAGCCAGCTGGTCAGCCCATTTATTCGCCGATTGGATCTTGTCAATTTTATTTTCAGACACGCAGTAGGCCTCTACTTCACTAATGCACTGGGAATGCAATGGGAAAAGATACACCTTCCTCAAAGTGGTCCTCCGATTTTTGACTGAAAAGCAAAAAATGACAATTGTGTCGTGAAGACATCAAAATCCCAATTTTACAGACTTTTTTGCCGAAACTGTTCGTATAGCTTGCGCATAAATTGTTTTTTTGCTATATCGAAGGAACCAATGTATTGGGTTTTCTTTTCCACTTGTGGCTACCAAGAAACCAACCGTAGAACCGGTGAATCTTCTTGCGTAAACCGATCGTATCCAGAGATTAAAACCCAACTGTGAGGCCAGAGCTTGTCTTCCTATCAGAGAAATTATACAAAATACTGTGAGGCCAAAGCTTGTCTTCCTATCAGAGAAATTATACAATTAGTCAAGATTCTTAAAATAACTAACAAAGCCAGTGGTTGGATTAGCCTCGAACTTAGTTGAAGTGTTATCGTTACACTGATTTGTGCTATCAAACTACATCTAAGTCTCCGACCACAGGATGACCTCTCAACATCCCTAACACGAACAATATAGGTTCTGTTTTGTTGTCATCGCCGCTGCCATCTGCAGAGATAAACAGAGTAGGAGTGAAGTTAACATTGGTACTGCTTGAATTGACTCTGTCCTTTCAAATGGCAAAATCAAACAAGACCGAACGAAAACAGAGTCGACGGATTCTTATGAATCGCATAGTATATTTTTGGAATTTTGTCACTGTTTCTGAAGTCGTGAAGTCGATCAAGTACCAAATCTTCTGGATACCAGTACTGCATTAATTTAAAAGTAAAACAGCGACCAAATGGACACAGTTTTAGTATTTGCACTCGAAAAATAACAGTGACTTGAATGAAGCGATTCCTAATCTTACCCGATCGTTACCGTGGACTGAGGATACAAATCGGGATCACGTTACACTATTTCTCCAGACTACTAACAGTGGTAACCAGAAGATATATGAGCAGATGAGAGGCCTGAGGAGAGCTCGAATGTCCGCGGAATCTAAGACTAAATGCAGAATCACTCCCTTGGTCTCTGGGGTACTCCGAGCACCTTGAAATGTATTTCGTCACTAGGCTAAACACAGACAAGGTCAAACCGTTCCAAGCATAGTGCAAGCTTTCCGTCCAAGTCTGTTCGTTGTCATCGTCAGTGCACAAGCTGTGCTTTATTTCTCCTTCGCAATACAATATTTTGTCTAATTTGACATCACAAAGCAAGTGTCATTCACATTCGGTGGCTTTGAGTTCTCCTTCATCTAAGACCACTATTTTGTTCGATTTACAGCAAACGATTCAGTTTGTGACAGTGGATACGTTATTATATGCAATCCATTCGTGAGAAAGCATGCCCAATCACACCCCGATGAAGTGATCAAAGTGGTTGACTTCAGCATGCACGCGCATTCGGAACCCTGTTCCGCTCCGGAAAACCAAGATTATCGGTACGTCACAAAAGAAAATGGAACGAAATATCACGTGGTCGATCGAAACAGTGGAAAGCCTTTGAAGTACACCGAAGCCATAGCAACAAATATGAGATGTGCGCAAAAGCACACAACCAAGTCTGATGGGTGAGTTTCACTGTGAACCAAGTGGTAAAATATATATTGTATCTCGGACTACATTCACTCAACACTGAGTCTCAAAGATACAGTAGAGGAAATACCAGAGGAACGTAACCCCTAATTCTTTCTATCCAGTCACAGCCAAAAAAGGCGTCCCTTGTTAAAACCGATAACACCTACCCGCTATTTCAGTTATTTATCACGGGTGAGTAAGGTGTGATGATTTAGCTTACCTGCAAGAGAGCCGATGCACCCACACACATGCGCTCTGCTTGGAGAACTGAGAAAACCTGCTGGAGTTTATTCGTTTCTAACAACACATCAACGTGAGCCTCAACGCATGGAAGGATGACGTGGATCACTTTCTGGAGATCGTCTCCCGGACTCGATGGATGGCGTTGAACCAAAGAAGTCTCATAATCCTAGGCGTCCCTCTGAAGTGAAATATTTGATAACTGCCGAACGGCTTTGTTTTTTATTTACTAGTTGAGATCTTGAAGTCGGAAGATTACTACTTAATCCCTTCAAGGGAATGTTTTATTCACGAGTGTTCTAGTGAGTCACAGTTGATTTAGTTCCGTTTAGTCATATGAGCTGATCAAGGTAGATTTGATTTAGAAATCAGTTCCACACATTATGTGCACCCTCATTACTAGGATGTCGAGAGTCTGAGCAACCATACAGTGAAATGTCCCTTTTAGTCAGCAGTGGTCTTTTGCGGTACTAACTTAAGACTGAACCAGTGGATTTCGTTCCCATCTCACAAGCAAATGTTCAACTGAAAATCCGATATCCCGCATCTGTACCTCGTCCTGAAAGGATTGTGTTGCAGAATGGAAAGTTTACAGAGCAAAAAGCTTGCAGCAAGATTTTACATCAAGCTTTTCTGAAGTTTTCTGGATAGATGAGCGGAGTATAATGTCTGATTGTGAGAGGGCTTCGACGGCAGCAATTTATATAATTATGACGAGCAGCGATCCTTTCATCCTGGTTAATCTGTCTTCCAAGACAGTCACAGCGACCGTGCAGTAAGCGAAGGGTGCGCTCGTTTAAAGTCACCTCCACGTGTGCTTAGTACATTTGGGTTCTGCTATTTTTAAAATATTCGCCATGAGTTGAAAGCTATTGCAGTTGGCGGTAGAGTTGGTCAGTGCTAGTATTAAATTGAGTGTTCCCTGCGCTGACTGTAAGCAGAGTGAGCTGCAAAATACTTCCGTAAATAAAAAGAATACGACTTTATTATTGCGCCTGATTCCTGTGTAGATCGCTGATCGCTCTTACCACATGAACGGCAAATGAGAGCTTCAAGAGATATTACTGTTCAAACTCATTCAACAGAATCACAGCAGACAACTTAAGGTTCGATTTCGTGCCCAACACCCCATTTTCACATACCAATGTTTTCAAGGCGGCCATACCATGTGTACCACTTCCTATCAGCTGAATCAATATCATAAAACATACGTAAGCAGTACACTGCGGGTATTAACGTGGGACTTAGTATGATCCCGAAATGCAGGCTTTCGTTAGCTAGGAAGTCGTTGATTGGTCTACACTAGACTTTTTTGTAAAGTGGATAGGACAGGATATGACTTTCCTTTCTTGATATTGAACTCACGACAAAATGATCTTCCATTGAATTTGAATGAAAAACTGTCTGGCTATTTCGATGCACCTGCCTTTGTGATTTGGTGCTCCCTAGAGGTTTGTTTCTGGGTACGTCATACACGATGTAGTTTGCGTAGTGGGAAATCTTCAGGTCGCAGAAAACTACCGGTCGTGTCGCTTAGGCGTCAGCCTCTTCGTTGGTTTTAATAAGCTAACGTGCGCCAAAATACGGCGGGTGTTTGCATACGTATTTTAATGCAGTCTATCAGTACCAATACCGTTACAACGTTCAAGTTTATCCGACAGAAGCCGAGCATTCGGTCAAATTGCTCATACTCACAATTGGAACAGCTTGGATTCTTCAGAAAAATTTCGTCTTGTTTTATGAAGAAGCTTTTTCACCATTGTTACTAGTGAATATTGCCCCGTAGGATAGCAATCGGATGATTACGATCATTAATCCAGGAAACCTGCTCTAGATTTGAAGCTCTAGCACGGAGTTAGTAAATTCACGATGTTTTAAACAGTGCCTTATTCTACGTAAGAGATTCATGGAGGAAAGGCCCGAAGCAAACATTTGCTCGGGGGAGTAGACTCGAACGCCTTTCTTTGACAGCTTCAGCGATCGTTGGCACATTCGAGGGAGCAGTTTGTCCGCCCCGCCAATTGAAACCACCAAACGGGATTCGCTTCTTATTGATAGAAGAAGTGAAAACAGTGAGACTGAATGGCGAGTAGCTGCCGCTTTGTCTGCTACTCTGCTGTGACTGGCGCTCACGTCATGGAGGTTTTGTTACTGATATGAGCACATTGGACACCATCCACAACCACATTGTAATGCGGATTGCAGATGACTACATGATACAATATTTACCATTAAGGCGAATGACATGCGCGCGTGGTCACATCAAGCTATGTTCCTGCGTTGGCATGGCTTGAGAAAACCGCCGTTCTATCAGGGAGACTAATATATGCAGCTACAGAAGGTCAGTAAAAATATCTAAGATGGCTTCCTGGCCATTCGAGCGTCAAATGACAAGTGACTATTTTTGCCTAAAAATGTGAATTTTCCCTTTGAATTTTCATCTTGCATCACACTGCGTGTGATGTTGAATTTTCCACCTCGTCACGATGTCCTGTTTAGAGTAAAACAATGATTTGGCAACGAAGTATGAAGTCCATCACCAACCAAATTAGCTGCTCTGGCCATTGCCGTCTCCCTGGGTGGGGACTCCGAGACAGGACAAATCAAGTCTAGAGTAATTGTCAGACATAGTCCAGTCACTCACTCAGTGACATTCAAGCATCCGAACTGTTGCCTTCAATCCACCGCTCCCTTCCTGATCCTTCCGATGAAAATTCTATGGACATCACTGTATTTGCGCATCAATCATATCAGCTACCGCCTTCAATGCGTAGCTATTTACCCCACCTCCCGAAATCACCGGCAAATGAAACTCTCACAGCTACAACCACTATACTATATACTAATATGGAGGAAAATTTTGGTAGATCACTAACCCACCGCGACGCACCACTACGCTCCTCAATAACGCACTGATGATGTTACCTCGATTGGTGATGAAGTGTTTGCATTCAAATTGCCCATCTCAGCAAACAAGCCAACGACCATTTTAGCTGATGGCGATGAAAACACATTCCTCCTTTGGTTGATTGTTTGTCCGTCTGATAGAAAATGTGTGTTGTGACATCAAGTTTAGATGAATTCTGGTGATGGATCGAAAAACAGTCATACTGTTCACGCCACTAGAATAATGCGATAAAGCGTGACCATCGGGCACTGTAGATCAAGTCTGGATCCTTAAACAAACACTAGTGGCAACTATTGTTTACGAACTCAAAATACTGCAATCCCCCCTGAGAATAAATAACCAAAGTGATCTTTTGAGAAGGACCTATTCTCAGCGAGGGTTCTACGTCAAATTCTGGCTGACAGGTAAAGTTCTCGTTGCCTTGTTAGCAACCTGGACATTATTAAAAGGTCAGAATCACCCTACAGAAGGATTGGTGTGTATAAAAATTTCTAAAAATGATCACGACATACAAGAAAATCGTCCAAGAGATCTAGTTTTAACTACTGACTAGGTCCATACAAATTGATGTTCGTTTCGCTAAAACATGTAGTTCTCCTTCATCTACGTTCAACAGCTATCACACTCCAAGAAAGTACAGACAAAAATCTTGCCCAGCCATCTACAGAATTGATGCTGTTCTGGTTCCGTGCGACTCGCTGACATGTTTACAAAACGGTGGAACTCCCAACCGATGGGTCAGCTTCAGAGAAGCCGTAATGCGGAATGTTCTCGACCGGAACACTGGATATGTCACATTAAGATTACCGGACCATAAGGTAAGACGTCTTAGCTTCCGACGGGCTCTCGATCAAGGTCTGCTCCAAGCTGTTCGTCTGAAGCATTGGCAGGTGGACTCGCTGCCGCTCTCCAGTTGCATATTCCTGAGAGACTAGCATTCGATCAACGCAATTCATGTTTATTAACTGCAAAAAACAAGACATTTATTAAGTTTTCATGTTATACCGATTGTCAGCTGCATACAACTGACCTCCCTTTGCTTAGTATCTTCCACTTGACTCTTGTTGTAACCTTGTGTTTTTATTATGACTTCTCACCAGTAGGATAATAATGGATACCTCAAAGTTTTCCATGCCTTTCACCCTATAATAAGCGATGGCTAAATACCCTCTACAGTTTAGCTGCCGCGTATTTACCCCATAAATATGAATTGAGATGGGTTCCTATACACCAGTATTCACTGTTTTTACCAATCATCCAACATTAGTGACCTAATTTCCCTGTGATGCGTATTCTGGAGGGAACAGACTATTTGAATTCGACAGATGGCACAGTAACAAACAGGTGAACATCTCGCATTGAGTGACCTCATCAAAACATGCTTTCTTAACTACTCAGCATATGAAGAGAATCCTCGAGGACATAGTAGTTCCTTGTTGCAATAAGAAGCTACAAATTAGATGAGATGTTTTCGGTAGACACAGAGTGACCTCCGTCAAGCTTTTAGAGGATTCGTACGCATATATCTTTGTAATGTACTACTTATAAGGTTGCTGAAAATCAGTCGACAGCCCACGACCGTTTTCGTTCCTTTTGGGGCTCATCAGGTAGGCGCAGTCCCTGTGTTTCCGTCAACCTTGTGTTCCGCTTGAAACCAAATTGCATCAAATCAGCGAATATACACTCATTTGCAAACGCATTTGGTTTTTCGAGAGACTCATTACAAATATAGACCTGTATCGCGATACCTCGAATATCGTAGCGACTGAAACATGAGGCGGCCTGGTACAGCACATTCAGTTGCCAGAGAACATCACAAACGAGAGATTCAACTGGGTTCCAGGTGAGTCTTTCGAAAAGCCAAATTAGTTTGCAAATGAGTGTATATTCGCTAGATTCGTACGCATGTTTATTCAAATGAGTTGAACCCATAGATTTGTAAGAACGTGAAAATTTACTCAATTTAGTTTAGTCTGTTGTGGAAAATGGTGAATTTTAGCGAGTACACGACAAAGAAGAGTATGTAATCAAGGGAAGAATGGCACGCACTTTGGCTTGCACAATACGAAAAATGTCCTGTTGACACGGTCCAAAAGTCCCCAGGAAAACTTTTAAAAGAGGGGTCTCTAATTTAGCTTGCTTACTGGGTATGGAGAGATTGTATGTTCACCAGTCGAATCACTGTTCCTTGTGAATTAACTCTTTCTATGGAATTTGTCCCTGTTTGTTCAACCAAAGTATAAAAAATTTTGATCGCCTAACCACTGCAGGAAGTT